TATGAACAAATTAATAATAGGTGAGTAAAGTTTAGAATTGATTTTACACATTAAAGTTCAAATCAATCTACTTTGGTTTGGTTTTACTATCCATGAAAGTTCTTAAAATAATTGAACATTGTTTTTGTTTTTTTTCGATAAAACTCTGCTTAAAATATTTCTTATGAAGAAGGAAATATTTAGGATAAAGTTATTGAAGTATTATGAACTTTTTAAAATTTTTTACTTTACTTCTAAAATCTAGTCAAGATCATCTGTATGCGCAATACGGTAGGTTTGTAACATACCTAATTAAACTTGCAAAAATAAAACATGGCTTAATTATAAATGCCTAGTCAGTCGCGTTATAATAAATCAAAATTGTATAGCGTTTATCGAATTATCAACGTGATGAAGAAAATTAAAACGAAGAAAAAGCAACTGTAGAAACCAAAACTGTGAAATTCCTGCCATCTTTACAAATGTTTTCACTGCGGTAGTCAGTGAAAACACTTGTAAAGGTCGATGAAAAATGTCCCTAAATCTTTACATTTCCAAGATATGAGATATAAGGTTCCTTGCAGAAGTTTTGAGACTGTTTCAAGAGTACGATATATTTATTTCAAAGTACAGAACTCTAATTTCTTTCAAAGTAGGATCCTCCGACTTCAATGCACTTGTAGCAGTCTAGCCACATAGTAAAGGTCACATGGAAGTCATTCAAAGCTTGAAGGAACAAAAAAAAAGTCCCCGTGGGCAAGGTCTGGACTGTAGAGAGGGTGGGAGACAGTTTTGATTCTATCCCAACAGAAAACTGTATGGCATATTGAGCTTCCAAATTGTCTTCACGCAGAGTTTACTTTGATGTCTTCAGAGAGCTGTTACAGTGGTTTTCTTTAATCTGGAATAGCAAAAATTGTCAGGTCAGCTTATTACAGATATCATAATGATATACTAAAATTATAATAATCTGAAACAGTTACAACTGCTTCTAATAAAAGAAAAATCTCAAAACTTTTGGAATTAACCTCATAAAATTCATTTACCAACATCGGTCTATATTTAATTCAAAATTGCATTTGCAAGTTGACGAATAGAAAGTAAACTACAGGAACGTCTTATCTTGATTTGAACTTTTAATGTACCTGTATGATCGCGCACTATTCTGATGTTGAATTTTGTTAAAGCTCTACTTACTATCATCACTATGTAGGAGGCTACGGCACCCCCCAATGTGGCAAAACTATTAAGATATCCTACTGCTCCGTTTCTCACACATGTGGGGAACAATTCACAGGTATGTACGGAGATGATTCCATAGTTACCAGTAATACACAATCTGCTTATGATAGCTAATACTGTTGTCGTCCATTGTAAATCTGAAATAGAAAAATCAAAAACAATAGCTAATACTGTTGTCGTCCATTGTAAATCTGAAATAGAAAATCAAAAACAATAGCTAATACTGTTGTCGTCCATTGTAAATCTGAAATAGAAAATCAAAAACAATAGCTAATACTGTTGTCGTCCATTGTAAATCTGAAATAGAAAATCAAAAACAATAGCTAATACTGTTGTCGTCCATTGTAAATCTGAAATAGAAAAATCAAAAACAATAGCTAATACTGTTGTCGTCCATTGTAAATCTGAAATAGAAAATCAAAAACAATAGCTAATACTGTTGTCGTCCATTGTAAATCTGAAATAGAAAATCAAAAACAATAGCTAATACTGTTGTCGTCCATTGTAAATCTGAAATAGAAAATCAAAAACATTTACAAATTAGAGAATATCTATCAAAGATGCTTAAGGGCGTTTTTAAAACCACTTAAAACAAAGATGGGGATAACATTGTGAAAAAGAAAAAATGATAGAACTTTAAAAGGTACATCGACAAAATATGTCATTAAAAACATTGTGCATCAGCAATCTGTCTATATTTCTGAGATGAGGTATTATGTACATTATTTACATTATTCGGACTATTGTCCTCATCTTTGTTGCCATATTTCCTTGTAATAAATATGGCGACAAAGATGAGGACAATAGTCTGAATAATGTAAACAATGTGCATCAGCAATAGTTTTATATAACCACCATATAATGTTAAACTTTTTCCCATATAGGAAATGTAATATATAATCTGTTTAAATCAATGTAATAAAAGGCTACTCATACCCAAGTATGCGTATATGCTATGGCGGCTAGCCAATCCCTATTGTAGACGCCTGATCAGGCACATTTGTGTTTATTCAACGCTCACACAGCCCATTTGTCGTTTATGCTTTGACTATGCTGAGCGGACCTTAGTTAGGGTTTATGGGAGAGAGCACATTATCTGGCATGATCAACAGACTGAAAAAGGCCAGTACGCTCACACCCTCGGTCACGATGACTTGCGACTTCGTGCTAGCTAGTTTCTGCTATCCAGTTTCACTCACAAGGCTTAGGTCAACCCGTGGTATGGTTTTCAGGCGCTTTCCAAAGCTGCGCAAAATGGGATCGTCTCTACATCCAGAACTCACTTTTCTGACAAATCGACCATGGTGAGATTGGAATACAGGTCTTATAAGCAAGTAACCATATAATTGTATATATTTACTTTTAGGGCTTTCTTAATAATTCAATCTAAATTTCGATGTTGGATCTCTTCATAACCTCCGTCCATTTTACCCGTAATCTCAAAGTCTTTTCTATAAAGTGCTTCAATATATATGTCTGAAAACAGTAAATATTTGTAAAGAGTTTAGTTACAATGTCGAGTTCTCAGCACTTAAATCTACTAGAATATGACTCGCTTTCTGAAAATCAGATGAAAGCAAAATTTAGGCTCAACTGCGATTACGTTCAAATGATTTCTATGAGTGAAATATTCGGCATTCGTTGATCGAATATTTAATCTTAGGGGTGGATAAAATTTCTAAATTCTTTTTCTTAAAGTAAGTTTCAGGAAATTAGATTTCACAAGTCTTTCTTTCTAGTACTGATGATAGTTTTTCTCACAAATTTTGTTTTTGGTAATGGAGAAAATTAACATCTAGAGAAGTCTATTAGCATGCAAAATCCTGCATCTAGAAATATCAGAATACTGTTAACAGCTATTGAAATGGCACTTTCGATTATTTACAGAAGGGAAGTTCTGTAGCTACACATTTGTAGATCATAGATGTTCCTACACAATACGAAGCACCTAATCTATGGCTTTTGGTATATCAGAATATAGAATACAGAGAATATGTGAACATACTTTATCATAAGGTCTCTAAGCAACCCTTCTCTGTTTTTGAATTCAGAATTGTCCTTCCGGCTTAGAATGGCTGCCAACCCAGGTTACAAAATACACTATAACCTCTACCAAATAGCTTGGGTGGAGAAAAGATAGATTCATACATTTTCCAAGGTTATTCGCGTGTAAGTCAATGTAAAGAACCTGACCTGAATTCAAGGCAATACCAACGTTCCAAAACCTAACTTCCTTTCACCCGCCCCCACAATTGTTTTTCTGTTTCAGTTCTATATGCTGATTCGATTTCAAGAAATGCAACTAACCCGTCTCATGGCTGGAAATTCAAGAAGCGATCAAGAAAATTTTAATAGATAAAGAAAAATAAAACTTTTTGATTTCTTACCATCTGGAGCGAAGATAAATGGGAAAATCGTCACGATTCCGCAAATTCCTCCAGTTACTATGAAGGCAATGTACAACTTCTTTCTGCCGATTCAGTTCAATAAAAATATACACAATACAAAAGCAGGGATTTCCACGAGTGCACCAAAGAAGAAATTCAAAAAGATGTTTCCACTTAGATTTTCAGTGTTTATAAGCAATGCGTAATACACAACGCTCACCACAAACCTAGAAATAAATACAAACTCTTGATGTGAAAATGCTGAATACGTTGCATTGTTTAATGAGTTATTAATCCAATTCATTTAACATCAAAGAATTTATTAAAAACACAACAGTCAACGAACATATAATTCTGAATTCCAAACCACTTACAAATTTCATAACCAGGCTGTCTCTGAAAGTAACATCAAATCAACGTATAATCAATACTTTTAATGCAATTCATTCTCGAAGTCTTCACAAAATCCAGCCTAGATTTTAAATACGTGAAGTCTGTTTTTGTTTTTTGGGGTTTTTTGTTTTTTTTTGGTTTCTTTTTTTTTTTTTTTTTTTTAAATGTGTTATGATTCCTCTAGTGTCCAACGATCTCCGCTTTTCGGTAAAATATTTAAAATCATTGTTATTATGAAAGTAATTGTTAAAACAAGATTCCCTTGCAAAAAAAATATTATTGCAATCCGAGATATGCTTCGGATTTAAATAACCCACAAAGGGTTGATAAGCTGTAAAAAAATGAATCACTTGTAAAACATAAATCCTTGTGTCCCTCAGTCTTTTCCAGGTGTTTTTAGCCCAGGTAAACTCCTAGAAATTTAAAACTGGTATCTTTATTTCATTTCAAGTGTATAATGTTCTCGTTTCGGTGTCCATGACTACGGATATCCCGTAGTTTCTTTTCTTTTTTTTCTTCTTTTTAGTACTGCTCACTTATTGCTTTCCAATGAGCTTGAGTCTATACTACCCGGCTCAAGCATTGAACTTTCAATTACTATGCCACCAAATATACGAATCAACCCTACTCCACTAGGTTATTGCTCCAAAATACGTAATTATTACACAATACAAGAATGACGTTTTTGTATGAGTGTAAGAAGAAAACTCAGAAGGGAAGTTTATGAGGAGAGATGAGAGTTAACCCTAGAGTAGAAGAGGTTAAGATTATAGTGATCGGGAAAACATCCTATCAGGAGTCTGCTCAACAATGTAAAACTGTTCTTATTACAATTGATATACAAATGGAATATGTGTACGTTACAAGGTAGTTCATAGCTATAAATGGTCAGAACTGGTGAAACTAAGGAATGTAACTTATTAGAAAATGGTTCTTGTCATAGCCGGAGGAAAATACTTACTCCAGCTGGCATCTAGGGTGAAGCGAACCAGTAGGCTTTCAAGGCAAGGAGCCTCCGTGAGAGAACCACAATTCTTCATGATAGATGACGTCTAGATATTTGGAGAAGTATCTATACACTGTCGTATCATCTGGATAAATCTACCTGCAAAAATTAAGCTCACAGTAGTAGAGAAAGTGGTCCAGATATGCCAGTTTCAATTGATATCGGTTCGTGGAAGAAAAGAAATAGACATCTTCTAAATACTTATTTACACTGTTTATATTGTCCGCTGCTATCACAACGTTTTGGTCGTTGTGTTCTACGTCCTTCCTCAACCGAAAACAGTGTGATAATAACAACAATTATAGGACAATAGTCCAAACATAAATAGTGTAAATAATGATGACTTCTCATCCCATAAATCCAGGAATAAATTCTAAAAAGTGATATAACTCAAGCTTAAAAGAAAAAGAGTCATGAAAATAAAGACAATTTATCATTAATCTAATTTTAGAATTTAGTTATTCATGATAACTATGATAGCAACGCAAATCAAGTCAAACGCAAATTCAAAGCAAACGTTATAAAATTAAAATATTGCTCACAAAGGAAATGGTCGGAAGTAAAATCAGCTCTCCATCTATTTTTTTAATTTACCTTTTTCTATTGCTATTTCACCAGGACATTTAAACAAACGCTTTTATATTCTGTCTGATTTCGTTAACATCTATGTTAGAAGACGGTTTTACTTAATTTTTATAGTTTAATCACGAGAAGAAACAGTAATGTTGGCAAATTACTTAGCCTGTATTATTATTCGATAATCTTTAAAGATTAGATAGTTTATTCAGATAAGATTACAATAATGTGTCTCAAGGTTAAATGTAGAAAATGGGTGTGAAGACTTTTCTGCCAATTTGACGACAAGGTTTACTTAATTTAATAATCAATATAAGAAAACCCATTTTTTTTAATCTGGCCTCGAGCAACATGAAGCCACATACTGAAAAAATAAGATCAAACATCACTACGAAAGTTAAAGGGAATCTCATCATTAAATTTCTTATCGTAATCAAATGGTACTTAGTATAGATCCCACTTGAAAATCGAACTCATTAGGGCAACAAAGTGCTCTGATGAGATTAGTACAAATAACCCGAATATCCAATAATAATGCAAATAGATTTCTGGAGAGAAATACCTGTGACACATGTGTCCACTTCACAAAAATTAAGTTTACAGTAGGAATTATGAATATAAATATTTCTTCAACTTTAATAAACGTACGAACCTAAATCTCTTTAAAGATTTAATTTCCATAGCGAGAAAATGAAGTTTTTTTTTAAAAAAATAAGATTATTGTGAAGATGCGGTTAGCAAGTTCCGATAGCAGATCTTTACTACAATATTAATCGTTATCTTCAATTATTATTTACACCGCATATATTCGAGTATAATGCGAGATTTTATGATCAATTTTTCGCAAAAATAGAAGATCACAAGAAACACAGCTTTTGTTTTTTTTTTTTGTTTTTTTTTTTGTATGGGTGGGGGGTGTTGAAGAGGTAAAAATCATGAATTTTCGATGACCGGTTGCACTATTCACAAATATTTTTTTTTCTGGAGGAGGTAAAATAAATGCAAAATTTCAGGGCTTGCACTAAACATGAAATCGGCTTATACATGAGTAGATAGGGTAATTTATTCACTATATGTTAAGCTTTGTAAAATTCCGATACTTTCACGTAATTAAATGAAAAAATAATGGTAATAACAAAGTGACAAAACCGTAAGTGGATGCTAAGTTGATGTGATTAGCGACATGAAAATTTCTTTCTTTCTCTCTCTTTCTCTCTCTCTCTCTCTCTCTCTCTCTATATATATATATATATATATATATATATATATATATATATATATATATAGAGAGATAGATAGATAGATAGATAGATAGATAGATAGATAGATAGATAGATAGATATGACAATTTAAATAACGCTAAAAAGCACTAACTTTCCGCGATATGAAAATTAATATACCATATATAATCATTGTTGTATACACCAGTGGTCATTAGAAAAATTTGGTGTCAAGTTAAACAGACATGTTTAGGTTTTAGTCTAGTCTGTTTCAAAGACTAACCAAACTCAACTGTTAGTAGACAAAATGCAGGGTGATTTTGGAAATGTATCTTATATGGTTGGAAGTCGAGTATTTCAGACATTTCTTTGGAGGAATGGACGGGAAACCGTGATAGTCTTTAATATGATCAGATTTACAAGAAGAAAGGAAATTATTCTTACCAATTGAACATAAGGATAAGTGACCGTTTTCGAAATTCTGGAATTGTAAATATTTTCCATAACCTGACAGTCCGATCTTCGCTTACCGATATTTCTAGTTTATCGGATTTGTAACTGAAATCTCTCTTGTTAACTTTGGCCATTTTATTCAGAATTATTTCTGCTTCCTTTTCCTTTTTCACAGTTAGTAGCCAACGTGGTGACTCGGGTAATAACCTGTAAAGAGTAATAATAACAACAATATAATATTTTATTAGGTTTAAAGATATTTTAATTTATATGAAAGTGATGAGTTTGTGCAGAAAGTTAAAAAATACAGATAACAAATAAGTCGATAATATTGGCAATTTGCTGTTTTAAATCTTACCAAATGAAAAGTAATCCAGTTGCTATTGAGGGTATAGAAATCAGTAGAATGATCAGCTTCCAAGTTCGTATATAATACGTCAGTATGCTAAGTATAAAGTATCCGGCAGTGAAATAAAACTGAATTGCTATGGTGGCATTAGTTCTGTTTTTCATTGACGAAATTTCAGCTCCTGTTAAAAAAAGATGAAATTAAAAGTAGTAAAAAAAAAATTCACGATAAACAAGTTATGACAAACCTATCATTTCGAAACAGGTTTTTAAAATACTTTCAATTTAAATCTTCTTTTATGTTCTGTGTTTCATCAGGACGTTGGCGATCATGGCTCTCCGCAATTTCTTGTTATTTTTAACTTATTTTAAATAAATTTTGTCTTAGTGACATTTCTCCCAAAACCTGCTACGCCATTCATTCACGTTGTTTTTCTCTGACCTTCTTAATTTCAATTTTTCTCGTGAGTATCAAATTTTCCAAACGTTCTTTCCTCATTGTGTGCCCCAGAACTTTCAACAATCTCTTCCTGGTATTATGTATATGGGTCCATTTTATTGCCATTGTCACTAGAACTTCGTCGTTGCTATGTTCGATAGATGTCAAATAAAGAACAAGGATGTACAAGCTAATCGCTCAGTGTATTCATTACCTTCGTTATCCGATCTCCAGAATCTCGGGAATTTGGTTTGGTAAACACGGAAACAGTGAATGTTGAACAATTTCACCAAGGATAACTTAAAAACTAGCAGTAGAAATGTGGTTCTACAGAATGATTATGAATATTTCATGTATGGAGCGAGTAAGCAACAAATAAGTCAAAGAAAATTGCTACAGAAAGAACTTTTCTTCTTAAAATCCGGTAAAGACAGATGAAATTCCTTTGATCACATAATGAGGAAGGAGTGATTTAAAAATATTGAAGGCAAGAGAGTTTGATGGTTAGCAAATTGAGAAAAGAGCCACACGCGATAGAAAGTTGTGGAGAGCCATGAATCCCTATATTCTGAAGAGACGCAGCAGATAGAAGAAGAAATATTTCGTCATAACTATATGGGAAATATTCTTCGCGATTGTTAATTTACAAGTTGCAGGATTCACGTAAAATCCACTTTAAACGTGTAAGTTTTTCGTTGATTGAAATGAACAAAACGCCTTACCGAACACAACTGATGGCACAAAAGAGAGAGCAATTCCAATGGCAGTCAAAGCGCGGAATATGAGAATCGCATTCATGTTCATGATTTGTGAAGTCAGAATTCCAGTAATACCTTGCAGTAGCAATGCAGCGATGATGATAGTCTTGCGTCCGAATCTAGAAAAAATCGTAAAGATTCATTAATATGTTAAACGAAGTTTGAGCGACTAAAATTTTTGTCATTTAAACTCAAGTTGAAGAAATGAAGTGAACATAAGTTCATATATGTTTAGAATATTGAGACGTTCGCATGAATACAAATTGTTTACAATTCAAAATGCCCACCCGTTGCTTTCACCATAGCCCTTAATCACTTTTCAACTGAACTGTATGACATGTTAGCCCCAACGCTCAAATTGTACTCCGCCATCTTAAGAGCTTTTTTAAGGTCCGACACATTTGAGTATGAGATATATGAAACGATGCTCTCCAACATGGGCCATATCACAAAGCTCATAGAATTTATTTCAACGCTTAATAGAGGCCATAGTCAAAAAAATCTACGGACATGTCTCTTGCAGTTCTGCGTCAAACTGGTCGTGTGTGCACGAGGCCAGCCTTGAATGAAGACGTAGTGACTTTCAAATGTGAATGAAAAAAAAAGACAATATTTATCTCAACATTTGCTTCTTAGATAGTCGTCTAGTCTCGGAGACTATATTACATTATCACCAGGTAAATCCTCATTGTGTGGCCTATACATATGACTTGAGCAATTGGTCATACCAGGTGTGGCATATACATCCACCAATTATTCAATCATAAAATAAATAAGAGTATTTTATTTAATGAAAGTTTACAGGTTGATTGTCATGTTTATTGACAATATTATATATTTTTTACAATTCAAAATGTCTATTCTTTGGTTATACCATAGACCTTAATCAGTTTTCAACTGAAGTGTATGACATCTTATTCTCTGCACTCTACGACATCATAAGAGCTTCTTTCGAGTTTGACATATTTGAGTATAAGATATGTAAAACGTTGCTCTCCAACATGGGCGATATCAGAAATTCATCGATTTTATTTCAGCGTGTAATGGAGGCCAAACTGACTAGTCAAAAAAACTACGGGAACGTCTCTTGCTGTTCGGCGTCAACTTGGCCATGTGTTCGTCTTGGGTGAAGATATAGCGACTTACAAACGTGACCGACAACCAACACAATACTTATCTCTTCAACATTTGTTGGTAAATTCTGTGAGTCACTTTCAGGCTTTCTTCAATGAAAACCAAGAGCAATTTTGAAACATCAGAATAAATAGCAGCACAAACGATGCTACCAATTAGTTTAAGTCGCCTTAAATGTGGACTGAAATCTTCGAAATCGTTTCTCGGGAAAGTTGCATAAACCCTATCGTTTTGGGAATTGTTCACAACCTCCACAGTGACAAACTTCTTGTTGGATCAAACGAAGACTTTGTCTGCGGTACGCTGCATCTCCTCCTATATTTTCTTCCCTCTGCCAAGCCGTTTTTTTTCTTGGATGCACGTGGCAGAACCTGTTTTCCTTGAATCCAGTATGTTTTTACCCCACAATTCTCTTTCACAATCCGTTTTATCCGTCTATTCGAAATATCTAGATGTAGATATCTCCCTAGTTTAACCTGGTCTAAGACTAACTTGTGTCTGTGATGTTACTGAGACAATTACGCAGTTCACGCCATTGCCATAGGGGGTGGTTCTAGTCCAAATAAATATAAATAATTCAAATGATTGTTTTTAAGGCAGCGTTGAAGAAAGACCATGCAGGTACACAGTATCTAATAAATGAAGTAAATTGCATAGATGTGTGAAATTAGTTTTAAGGCTCCTGTGAGCGCAAGGATTCGGATCAGTGAAATGAACGATAATAAATATCGTTCGAAACTTCAAAATTGCTTGTAAGCCTCAATTAATAATTTGTAAATTTTTCAATAAAATGTAACTCATAGCTAAAAGGACAGATAGCATATAAACAGGGACAAAAACAAACTAATATACAGAAAATAGATATGAGTAGATAAATTAATAGATATTAATATAGAGACATGAATATGAATATGGTTGTCTCTCCTATCGTGAACGATAAATGAAATTCAACATTGAATGGTGCCTTTCGTTTTATACTTATGCATGCCACCAGGGGCTATTGTAGATAAAATCAGGTAAGGGAAAGACGTATTTCATTTGTGCTTTCTTAAGCAAGTTTCTTGTTGCGGGTGACAAATCCACACTAACAGATCAAATTTGTTAAAACAGTATTTTGATGACGTCTCTGCTTCAGAGCTCGACGAAGCTGATCACCGTGCTTCAGTCTACTGTCGTCAAAACCCTTTAATGAAACATGTCTTACGCCACTCCTTTCGGTTTGATGCTTGGGCTTCCCAGGTTTTCAGATCAAAGTTGAAACGTTTCAAGTTGTCTTTCACTTTGTCTTTGTAGCGTAAGAAATGAATATATATATATATATATATATATATATATATATATATATATATATATATATATATATAATATTCATATACAGCCCAACTTCCATATCCCAGTAACCTTGTGACCAGGCCATTGACGGAACACAGAAAAAGCCGGATAACAAAAATCAGCCTAAAAACACTATGTAAATATAGTATTATCAACTCCTTCCACATATATATTGATGTGTTATCAAAGGTAGAAGAATACTTAACACAAGAAATAAAACAATCGTTAATGCTTCCAAAAGGGTTTTTATGCTTCATGAAATCCAAATACAAGAAAAAACCCTTAAAAGCAGAAAATGAGACATACTTACTATCCTGAATGGTTAAATATGCAGCTACATATAATAAATGAGCAAGACCGTATCAAGAAAACACTCTGCTGCTGTTGGCTGCTTCGAATAACTCTCAACGAACTGATGGCGGCTGATTTAAAAATAGTAGTGTGTCATGAGAGTTGCCAGGCCAGGGAGACTATAGTTGTTGGATTTTATATATATTTACATAATGCGAGTGTTCGTTGCAAGTGTATGTATTTCAACAAATAATGAAAAATAGGTATGAATTAGATAGATAGATAGATAGATAGATAGATAGATAGATAGATAGATAGATAGATAGATAGATAGATTAGAATAAGAACTGCCAATTCTCTGAACATATACTTACCGATCAGGAAGCCAACCGAAGCATAACATGGCAATGAAATCACCGACAAAAAATAAGGTGTAAATTAGATAGGTGAGCCATTCCTTGCCACAAATTAAATTAAACTGAAAAAAATATAAAACATTGGAATAGTAAATGAAATTAACGAGTATAAACAAACATCTTACAAGAACTAAAGGCAGATTTATAATCGTAATAGAATGTAGATATTGATGAAAAATTTGTAAAAATTATAAAAAATAAAATAATTCGAAGGATGACTGAAATTTTCCCAATCAGAACTATTCAGGAAACCTTATACCAAGTCAGATGACGAGGAAAGTGATAGATGTTTGAGACTAGCTGTTACTCAACAGCCGGTGATAAATACCAGATATGCCTGATATGTAAAAGCTATTTTCAGTGGTAACTAATATCTAAATAGATGCTCTTTTATGTTTTGTTTTGTTTTTTTGTTAAACAGTATAGTTATTTATTTTCGTTTACTGGCCTCAATATTTGAGAAATCATGTTAAATAAAATATGCACACTCCGGCAGGATTCGAACCCGAGTTCCCCTTTACATGAAAAACTGCCGTTAGATCCGATATGTGGAGTATTTCTGCGATATACCGTGTCTGGATTTCAATTAGCATTTTGATTTAGTCATCAGCAATGACTTTAGATCTACTGCAGAGTTCTTGATCGACCATATCAGAATTTCCATTTCTGATCTAGAGAATCACTTACAAACAGTACTCTATGCATAAATGGTACATATCGCTTTTGCTGTTTGTAAAGAGTTTTTTTTTTCCATTTCGAAAAAAAAAAGAATCAAATGTCGAAAACCCACATTTTCTTCATTTTGACTTTTAACGTAAGACTATTTAAATTTAAAATCCCCTCATGAATCGTAGTGAAAGACGCGTTTAACTTTCACCTCTCGCATATATATATATATATATATATATATATATATATATATATATATATATATATATATATATATATATATATATATATCGTAAATTTCAGTTATGAATGAAATGAAGTTACGTGTTCAAATGTGACCTACTGAAAAATACTACGAACTTTCGTTCCACCCCATAACTTAGTAATCCTGGTATGTTATATAATTTGAGATATTTTATCTTGCTTTTAGACAGATTTGCATTACGCTATAAGGCACCTATTAAGGGGGAAAATAAAATGTCATGTGTTCAATCGACACATATAGATATATTAAAGATACTTACATCACTGGTCATCGATGTTTCAAATATTGATTTGTCATAGACCCAAGAATTACAATTACTAATCGTCTGGTTTACCAATGCACTTTTATTAGTATAAAGATGGCAGCTACTGTACACTGGTTTCCCATCCACTATATCTTCGGGTATGTATTCTTTAATAAGTTCAGCGTGGGCTTCGCTTTGCACTTTGTAAGTGTCGTTAGTCAAACCAAGAATAGCGCACCTTTATTGAAGAAATAAAATGTTTTCATTATAATGATCATAAATTTATTTGTAACAAGGCAATAATAATAATAATAATAATAATAATAATAATAATAATAATAATAACTGATTTCTTTTTTATACTTAATAATTGTAATAATACTGGTGAAATGAAAATTTAACTTATTTTTCAGGTTGGCAGAACTTTTGCCAAAAGGCAATTAGTAGATAACTAGATCTATGATATTGAATAAATAAATAAAAGTTCTATTGATTTATCTGATTTGACCGACTCAAGAGTTTTAGCGTTCATCAGAGTAAAATGCTCAGTAAATCTGTTGAAAGTTTTATCAGATTTCGTAGAAACAAACGCTAAGTATAACTTTTAAATTTCTAGTTTGACATTTTAAATTTGGGACCAGATAAAATGATTTCTAAAATCACTATATATACACATACATATGTACACATATACATATTTTTGTTTGTATTTTTTGATTTTATTATTTTTTATATATAATTTCATTCGAACATCTGGCATTTCAACGCTAAATACTTGAGTCAGTCAACTGAACTTTTATTAATTTATTGATTATAATTATTATATATACAATTCTTATTATAATCTTTTTATTGATATTCTGAATTGTACACATCGTGTATTAGCAAAACTTGTAACTAGGGGTTTACAGTATAGATTAAGTGACAGGAGGTCTCCTCCTTACTTCACTAACCTACTACGCTGATTTTCGTAATAGTTTTCGGTGAAAATTTTATACTTCTTCTTATTTACAGTTCTAAAGTTTCTGCAAATCTCTTCAAAAGTATTGCAAAAGTAGTATATGGTGAGTTTAGTACAGTCATCAATTTCATATTACAGACTGTTTCAACAAAAATACCAACAACAGCAATAATAATCGTAAACATTATTTTACTTATTATAAGTATTATACATACGACACTAATTAGCATCTTTTTTATTGTTATTCTTGTACATTATGTGTTTTCCGAGTACTTATAAGTGAATTCTCGAACTTGAGATTTAGTGACAGTAGATCTCCACTTTACTCTACCATCCTCTCTGCATTCTCGCTTGATTTTTGTGATGCTCTTCTTTGGATTCTTTTTTTTTTTATTAATCAAATTTGCAATTTTATTCTTTTTCATATCTTTTCGCGGCTCTCCCAAGTGATCCGATAATCATGTTTTAATATAGTTATCATTTTCATATTGCAGAGTTTCTCATTTCTCAAGTAAAATCCAGGTATTTTTATAAGTATATATATTTTTATCTTTTGTTTTTTTGTTTTAATCTTTGATATCTTATATCAGTAGTAAGTTTACCAATCTGCTCAGTAATCTAACCGATTATAATAATTCTGACTTTTGGATGGTTTCGATTCTTCATTTTCAGTTCTTCTTTTCTGTTTACAAGGAACTTTGGGGTTTATTATTATCCTCATTGAGGTTTGCGCCAAGATAAACTGATAAAGACATATATTATTATTATTATTATTATTATTAATAATAATAATAATTGCGAGAGCAGCTCGTCAATTTTCTGATCTCACAGCTGGTTTGCTCTACCATTAAGATACCATGACGTTAATTTATCCTAGTTGATCTACGGACATTTTAAAGTCTACAGGGTGCCGACACTATTTTTCAGACACTTTATTTTTTCAAGTTTTAGGTAGCACTGGCAGTCTGTACTGTTTTAGTGTAATGGCAATAACATTTAAAAACTGTTTCAATACTACAAATGGAAAAGCAGAATTCAAATTAGAAGTATTTTTATTTTTTTAAAAATGTTCACATTACACAGGCGACAGTATTTTTCGGACATTGCAGAAACAATGCTAATAGTTTATGGTATCACCCCTTTTTCAATGTCTTCTATCAGTCTATCTTCATAATGTTCGTACATATTGATAATAACGTCTCTTCGTGTTTCTAGCAGTCTATTTTTAGCATCTTGTATGCGCAGCCACAGTTCAGCCTCTCTGGTTATTTCTGGCCCGTCGTAAACAAGCTCTGCAAGCATTTCCCATATGTTTTCAATTAAATTTAAGTCTGGACTTCTTGCAGGCCATTCCAGAGTAGTTATATTTGCTTCACACATCCAATTTTTCACTGATTTGGCTACATGGATGCTGCAGTTATCTTGTTGCAAAATAAAATTACTTCCCATTTCTTTTTCTATGAGTGGTAGGGCTCTCTTTTCCAAAAGTTCTCTGTAGCTCAAGCTATTTTAACGTCCTTTTAACCACTCGAGCCACAAGTTTCCATTCGGAAATACCATACCCCAAACTATGACGACTCCTCCTCCCATCTGTCTCTTGTTGAGAATAACAGGTTTACCTTTTCTCGACCATGTACACGACCCGTCAGGTCCATCGAACGTAAAACGTTTTTCATCAGTAAATATCACTTTCTTGAAGTCGACATGGTTTGTTATCCATCTTTTGGCGCTTCCCAGCCTTGCCTCCTTGTGTTTTCTCGTTAGTGTAATTCTTTTCTTGATTTTAGCATACTTCAGTCCAATTTCGTGTAGCTTTTTTTGTACAGTTTGAACGCTGACGTCAAGTTCACACTTCTCCTTTACTTTCTTCGCTGTCACCTTTTCTCCAGATGATAACAACCTCGTAACACTCCTCTTCATTCTTCTTTCTGTTCTCTTGAAAAAAATTTTTTCGTCCTCTCTTCTTCTTCTTCCGCTCATAGTCTGTACTTAGCATGTATTCAACTGATGACTTCGGTAGCTTCATCTCAACGGCGATCTTTCGGATACTGAGCCCGTCTTCTCTCTTCTTTTGGACCAAACTGATGACTTCTTATGAATGCATTCTTCTTCAGGATTTTAATACGTTTTCGCAGTGAATGGTAAAGATACTCAAATGTAATGGTCAGGGTACAATTTACCTGCAGAAAATTTGCATATTGTAGACGTTCGACGACTAAATCATTAAAAAACCCGGAATTTGTGTCATGTTCGAAAAATAGTGTCGCCTAAGTTGAAGTAAAAATAAAAAAAACATGAAACCAAAGACAAACTCATCAATCAATGTTCATACCATTAATGGACAGTTACTGCAGAACTACCTACTCATCAACACAAAAGCTCTCGGCAACAAAAAACACCTTTACGCACACTTTTCAAAGTGTCCCAAAAATAGTGTCAGCCCCGTGTACATGTGTTATAGTTTTTTTTAGAGCTGTAATTGCTTTTATTTCCGCTTGAAATTAATTATCTAAATTTTCAATTCATGGAGAATTTTAAAATTTCTTATCACCAAAAATTCATATAGATTTTCGGATGTTATTTGGTAATTAATTGGCAAATCTGAATAAAACTAATACCCTCGTTACGTAAATATTTTTTTCGTGACTAATATTTAAATTACTTAGGCCCTTATTTTATCTGAAGATTTGTCAGAATCGAAAATTATTGACATTTTATCATTTTTTTCGAGCTCCTAAATGATTTCTGACTTTTTAAGAAGCACATTTCTCGAATTTATATTTCCAAATGTCAAATATGAATAGTGATGACGTCATTGCCAGCTGAACTGCGGACACTTGATTTTTCTACCCATTTACCACTGGGATTGTTTTTCGCCTTCAAATCTGAATAAATATTTTCTGACAAAACATTTATTTTTAAATACCAAAAATTAGTCGTGAGAACATTTCCCCTACTTTCTAAGAAGGGACTAATTTCAGTTAGAAATACCCGAATCCCAATCAAATCTCGTCCCTAAAATCGATTTCAACTATAAATCAAGTCCATTTTAATTACTAGTTTAAAATCCCAATCCAGCCGACCACTATGGAGCTTGAAAACTTGCGTTCCCGGAAAAATAACTTTAGATTTTCAGATTTCGGACAATATTTTCTACATGAAAAGTAAAAAAAAAAAAAAACTGTAAATTTTTTAAACTTTCTTACTGATTAAACTTAAAAAAATTGAAGTGGCAAATCTATCCAAAATGCGTTGTCTGTGGAGGTAGGGAGAAATGTAAACTTAAAATGTTTTCTGCTAACAAGCGCCAAAGATTTCTTACCCGCCACATGCCGACCAATCGATTCATTTTTTCATTTTGTAACGAACATTATTTTACATACATGATACACAACTTGCAATGCAGATTTTTGTGTTTCAATGGAAAACAATAAACTGCGTGGCTTAGACGAAAATACAGTTGAGAATTTGATGTAATATTACAACGTGAAAAGAGTGCACTCCTTTTTTTCAGTAGCGGGAGCTGAAGCGACCCCTTTTTGTGACAATGACAAGGAGAGGAGTACTCTTCATTTGGGGGGTATAAGGGCTAAGAACAGAATTATATAGAATAGAACATCTATTCCAGTGAATTCGGACATTATTTTCCTTATATACGTATGCTGGCGAAACAAAACCGTTTAGAATTTTTGCTTGATTTCCAAGTGGTCTGTGTGACGTGATACCTGAGAAAACAATTATATATATATATATATATATATATATATATATATATATATATATATATATATATATATATATATATATATATATACATAAAAAAGTGAACATAGAAGTCAACACTTAGAGGCAACAGTCTGTTTCATGCTATATGCAATCGTCAGGTCACATATGCTGTTATTTTTCTCGGCTATTTATATATATACGGGTTAGTGGTGCATTGTGGGTATTCTATTATGCCGGTTATTTTTACCGGCAGTCGCTTTGTTTATTTATTTGGGTCAAATTATATTGCTCGTTTTTATTTTTTTATTTTTATTTTTTCTTTATTTATTTATTAACGTAGTAAAAATTTGTTTATATCACGTATTTAACAGTTTTGTTTTGGTTTGAGAATTTAATTAAAGCTATTTGTTCAATTTTGGGGTTGGTTGTTGTAATTCATTCTAACTATTATTTTTTTGGCGGAAACAGTTTTTTTAATTTGGGATTGGTTTGTCTATTTATTTACTTGGATGAATTTAGGTCAATTTATAAACAAATTTTTACTACGTTAATAAATAAATAAATAAAGAAAAAATAAAAATAAAATAATAAAATAATAAAAAAATAAAAACGAGCAATATAATTTGACCCAAATAAATAAACAAAGCGACTTCCGGTAAAAATAACCGCCATAATAGAATACCCACAATGCATCACTAACCCGTATATATATAAATAGCCGAGAAAAATAACAGCATATGTGGCCTGACGATTGCATATAGCATGAAACAGACTGTTGCCTCTAAGTGTTGACTTCTATGTTCACTTTTATATTTACACACGCTCTATCTCTGATATTGAGCACTTTATCCCATAAATATAGCACACCTTAAGACTATATTTCTTTATATATATATACATATATATATATATATATATATATATATATATATATATATATATATATATATATATATATATATATATATATATTCTGTTATACAATACATGGATAGTACCTTACACTAGCTTCAAAAGGTTTTACTACCTTCAAGAAAAGTCTAATGCCTGTCTATAGTTCCATATTTAAGTGTAGAAATCAGTGAAATCTTCTCTTCTACCAATAACTATCTCACATCTCAAAATGATCAAGAATAAGACTTTTAGGCCTGTTGAATATTCGAAAACTGAAGAGATTTCTCTCAGATTTCTTTTGCCTGTCGGGAAGCTGGAATGAAGGAATTTTTCTCAAAGATCCCATAGGTCAATTTCTTAGTAAAAACAATAAATCCGAATGCTGATTGTACCAGACCGGCGAATAGGAAGATAGTTTGATAGCTCTCCTTCCCTGGGGATTGGCGCAAAACATTTTTTAATAACCCATCCCTCTTCTATATTTTAATCTTTAACATTTTGCAAACATATTTCCACTTATTATGGCGAATTCGTAAACTCCCACTGAAATCTGACTATATAACACCATGGGAATTTATAAATGTGGCCAAACCGAGTAAACAGCAAAGTCATGTTCTCATGTCTTTTGAGGATTAAATGATGAACAGACTGATTTAATTCGTCACTTCTCAATCAGTACAATTCGTACAAAAAAAAAAAAAAAGAAATATCCCCTATATAAATATCATCCTATTTGTGCAGGTTGAGTCCGGAGGAAGTTAATATGCAGAAAATAGCTATTCGAAGAAACTAAATTAATATTTAATAAATTCGAAGTTCTTTTGAAATGTTTGCATTTTTCCTAAATATTGATCTATAAAGAGGATTCAGAAAAAAACTATCTCGATGATTTTTAATTCTGATGATTCCTGTGACTGTTTAAATGTATATTCCAATAATAATCGAGAAGTTTGACACAAAATACTGGAAAATTGCGACTAGAAATTGTACCCGATTGTATTATACACATCATTACCCTCACAACATAATTATAAATACTTTTATTGTTATAAATTTGCCTTTCTCCGGTTAATTGCTGAGACTAAATATTGAAGTTTGATACAAAGAAGTGGAAAACTTGTATTATTCGTTTTAAACAGCGAGATTATACGCCTCAATAGACCCAATATCGAAAGAAATGTGAATTAAAATTAAAATAAATGTAGAAATTATTTACCTGTGTTTTATTCTTGGAACGATGAAAACCATACTACCGGTCTGTAGTCCATTAAACACCGTGGCAATATACAATACACTGACCATAAATATTTGGTAACGTCCACATCCACCAACAGCTTTGACCGCATCTTCGTACTTCATTTCTTTCTTGACTTTCTTCAAATAAAATTGTAAATCACAAAACTGACGTATTTGCTGATAAGTTCATCATCTAATAACTAGAAATGTTGTTTTCCTGTGGGTGAATGTCTTTACGTGTAGCTTTTACATAATCAATTATTATAATGTTTAAAGCTGTCTAACATATACGCCTAATGGGACGGTCTAATTGATTCAAACAATCAGCCTTTTGAAATAATTAAGCCGTAAACAGAAATTTATTGTTAAACCATTCAACTTAGAATGCAGTAATGGCTTATTACAAGATTGTACAGATTAATAACAAAAGCTACCCAAAAGTACCACACTCGTTATCATCGATTATTATTTTTGAATTCGTTTGTGTGGGAATGCAAATATATGTTTTTAATATAATATCTTATAAAATATATTATCAGCAGCAGTCCTGCAGGTTTAAAAGCAGGCGACTTTAATTAACTCTCTCTTCTCGTTTTCCCTCCTTTCGAAATGTGTGCCATCCTTTCACACCGAAGCAAAAAGGACTGTGGAAGCTTCACCCACAAACACTTCTACACAGTCAAGTCATACTCAAATAAATTCATTAGAAATGCTCGTTGTGTGTTCCATTCATTTCTAGGAAAAGAAACTCTTAAATATTCCTTTGGTTATTTTGTTAAATAAATGTTACTTTGTATTG